AAAATAAGTAAGTTGGTCTGTAGAATAAGTATTACTTATGATAAGAAACTGTAAGGGAGCTTAACTGTTCACAAGCGCACAATTTTTATCACAAAACTTTTCACTAATGCCAGAAAAATAATGAAATTCCCATAAACTGTGTTTATTACCATCATGCATTATGGGATGTATTTACACAATAAACAGGTATTATATATTTAGTACCACTCTTTCCTGTTACCTGATAATGCTTGTTCCATTTTTTCAAGTTTTCAGGCACAGGGAAAAGAAGATTCTTGATTCTTCAGCAAGATACTTGGCCTCTTGGCTGTGGTAATTTTAAAGAAAGGTAACGAAGACTGAAAATGTTTCATTCTAAATTTATGAGGAGCACGTTATTTTGCCACACGTTATTTTACCACCGCTTCAGAACCATTGGGACTGATGGTACTTTTTCCCTGCAGCAGTGTGAGGCTCTGCATGCATGCAACATGCATGCAACAGCTTAACCTTAACCTTAACCTTGGAGTTTGCAAGCCTTTCCACGGGTGTTCTATCAAAATATGAACTAGCAATACATTTTAAAAGTAGTTAAAAACCTCAGCTGATACACACTCTCTCTCACACACACACACAAGATTTCTATTTGCTTTAACAATTACCAACAACTTTCATGTTTCTGCAGGAATGACAGTATCTGTATCAGGGATAGGGATGTAGCAGGGAGAAGGAAAAGAGGCTCAGATGCTGTCCGAGACTGCCCAGGTTATCAATACTCAAGTTACTATTATTCAGGACAGGCAGTATGTTTATTTACAGAAAGGATACACTAAGCAGTCCAACATTAAAGAAGCCTTCCAGTGGATATATTTTTCCACTGACCACGATCTCTCAAAAAATACTAGACTGTGGTGGAATGCCCACCAAAGGACATTAAAGACCTCTGAATGGCAGTCTCACAGAATCTTTTTGCTCTTAGCAGTACAAGAAAGCATCAGTAGAAGTTCAGGGTGCAGGTAAAAAGAATTTCTACCTCTAACCATACTAGAGATAGGCAGAGAGGTCCATTTTTAAATAAAGGTAGAAAAACTATAGCTTTACTATGTAAACTGCCACTTAAAACTTTCTTAAATTCCGTTTTACTTATGGATCGAATTACACTGGAGGAATGTGGAATAGAACAGTAAGATCTAAAGAATACAATTTTAATTATGTTACATATTGCCTCTGCTTTAATTATGTAAAATAGTATTAAGTAACAAACTGTTTATGCATGAAGTGAATAATTAATACATCAAAAATTATTATGATAAGTGTGTAATGCTGTCTTTTTAGCTCTTCCCTCCTTCAACTCTTTAAACTCTCAACTGGAGTAACAGTCAGAGAAATACCTGTTCTTGGCTGGGATAATGATGAATTACATTTTTCCCATTGATCTTTCAAACACAAAGCACTTGTTCTGAAGAACTGAATCAACAACCACACAGGCCTGGAGAGAGAGCAATGTGTATTTCATTATCTCCCAAGTGTAATGTTTTTAGTAGCATTACAGGCATGACAAACATGGAATAAAAAGTGAACACGCATTTTTGGCTTATCACTAGCCTCAACTCCAACTCTGTTACTGTTGTTCATTAGGATTTTTTTCGAGAAGAGGGAAGGATTGAAGAAAACTTGCTTGCAATTTTTATCCTCTTTTCTGGAAATGATAAAGTAAGCTACAAATTAACAGTAACTCACATTTATTAAAATTCATAACAGCTCACATTTTTACTCCTAGAGTCATACAGAATAAATAATACAGTGCCATTACTGAAAACGTATATGTGGAACATATTTGAACAGTTCCAGTATTCCAGAAAGACTACCCAGCATCCCTACAGCTAGCCGTGTCTAAACACTGCAGTTACCCCTCTTCTGGAGACTTTGGTCTGCCAAAGGTGCAGAGCTGTGCGTAAGCTCCCGGGGAGCCCCGGACAAAGCTGCGCAGGTACCAGGTTTCGATGGCCCGGCGGGATGCGCCGCCCGAGCCGGGCGCTCCGCGCGGAGCTGTCCGCGGTGCTGAACCACCCTGCCCCAGGCACCGCAGCTCCCCGCCGCACACCCACCGCGGGCCGACCGCGGGAAAAGACCAAAAGAAAACTCATTTGTCTGACGGTGCTGCATCACTTCTCGGCTTGGAAAGAATCTTGGCAAACCTTTATAAACTTCCCTCCCAACTCCCTTAAAAAAAAGCAGCAAGTCTGGGACAGGCAAACTCTAGACACTGGTTTGACTGGCTGACTGTTTTCAAAATAAAACATACAAGCAATGTCACTTCAATAGAAGACCAAAGCCACCTGCTATATAGCATGCTAGGCACTGTTCCGTGGACATCCTTGCAGCATGGCTGTTTGATCTTCCTACCAATAAATCAAGGTCAAAGACTACTGAAAAGAATGAAAAAGCTGATTTCTACTTGCCAGCATTTTAGGTCATGGGGAGTTTCTCAGTCAGTATTCATTCTGCCATCAGTAATAATCACTAAACTGTCAGCTCCTTATTTCCCAACACTTTTTTGCCTCATGCTTTTTTGAAAAATCTACTTATGCTTAGGTTGGTTTGCTCCCACCACAGTGTGAAAAGCACCACAGATGCAAGCTGAATACAGACACCTTCTTCTGCTCTATGGAACAAATTTCCCTCTCTCAGTGAATTCCTGCTTATTTAAACTGTAACAAATATTTAAGTATGTTTCAGATAATAATCAGAAAATAATGTTCCAATAGGAAAAGGACCGACAAATAGCTGGTGCAAAAAGTCCTCCAGGACACAACCAGACATCTGTGGGCTCTGTTCTACAGACCTTATTCATTCTTCTACACAGAGCAGAACGTTTGTTTGAATTAATGGCACGTCTGCCTTCAGAAAACAGTCTGTTTTAACCGTTATTTAAAAAACATTACATTATCAGGGTTACACAGTATCTTCTTTTGCCTGGATAACATTATGCACGTTATGTACTTAGCCAAGGGATTTTAAAGATACTTTTTTTCCCAGGTGTCTAGTGCAACAAAAATTGTATTACCATAGAATTGACATAGCATTTGCCCTGCACTTTCATTATCTTATTTTTTTATAAGTCAAGTGTGTACGTAGAAACATACTATGCTTAAATTCGAAAGTGAGCAGATGTTATCTGATAGCTATGGAGGGTACTACATCCTTTCCTTCTAACTAACTCCTTGAAGCAGAGAACTTTTCATTTTTGATGTGAATGACAGAACCCCTTGAAGCTGCAGCTCCTCCAGGCACTGTCATGACTACTGCATGTACTACAACTGGTGTTTCTCAATCAAAAACATGGGGTATTGCTGTTTTACAGGCACCTATACTTTTGCTCTGTCAGGCAGCACTGAAAACTACATTAACTGTGATTAAGTCATATGATTGCACAAGTCCTTCCATGTAGTTGCGTATATAAGGAAAATCTTTAAAACAATCGATTAAAAAAACAACCAAATGGAATGACAAATTTTTTAATTTTTTTTTTTCTGATCCATAAGGGATCTGATTCCTAAGACAATGAAAATTTCTAAATCTTTACCTGAAAAAACTCAACAAACAATTGAATCTTAGAGTAACTCAGTATAAGCTGGGGAACCTGTATGGACCTACAGCTATTTCATTATCTTCCACAAAATTTTCCATTAAAAGGTTCTGAAAAATGCATACAATATTTTAAACATTTAGACAAGACCTGTTCTCAGCTTTGCTATTCATGCCTGAAGAAACATTTGTGGGAAGATACACCAGAGAAGGCTCCCACACTGCAGTACTGATACTTATTTATTTTTATACTGATAAAGAAACCTGTTCATCCGTACTCCTGTAGTTTATAAATTTGCTCTCTCTTCAGAACACCTTGTATTTATTCAACACAACAGCATTAAACAATATCTCTGACATTAATTCAGAAAAACTGGGTTCTGAGCCAGGAAAAGAAGTTTTGCATGTGCAAAGACTGTACAACAGGACTCGATTTGGCAAAAAGTCTTCAGAGACATAATACTTTTCAATATTTTCAATAGTGTCTTCTACCCTAAGTAGGAGACTATGTACAATTTCATGTTGAAACTACAGCATTCTTTTGTGCAGAAGAATTGTACTATACAACTTTTTTTTATTTAACTGATTGGTACCAGTGGAAAAGTCTTCATTGCCCTTGAAACCTGACATTTCAGTCTTCCGCTCAACGAGTCTCTAATCTGAAAAAACAAAAGCACTGTACCTATGAGCAAGGTATTTTTCCCTTCAAAACTTTGAATTCTGTCCATTCTACAGTTCAGTTATGCTGAAATGCCACATTTAATTTCTTGGTCAAAAAAAATTACAACTGAAATTAGGACTAAGTCACCTGGACAGAACTTGTGAAAGTATCTGTGAGATTTATTCTATAGCTTTGACCATTATGTTCCTCTTACCTTTAGCCCTATCCTTCCTGACATTTTTCTCTGGTCACATTCCTAGACACTGCAGCATTAAATAAAACAAATCAAACATCAATCTCCCCCCTCCTTTTAAACACTCTCCTCAAGTATACTCGCATCTCAGACAGCTCACTGAAGATTACATACCTTGCACAATGAAGACAATTAACCTTGCCGTCAAGAGAAAACGCACAGCATGAAATTTAGGCAATGGGAAATAAAAGTCTATTGCCGTACATCTGCTACAGGAGACAACAGACGCATCACCTAGAAAGCATGTTATAACCTGAGAGCTAAGCGATCCTATAGCATAACCGTAGGCAACAGCCCCTAGCAGGCAGAACTTCCTGGCTCCTCTCTGCCCGTCGTTTGGTGCCCATCTCCACGGCTGAGGTCCATTCACCAACTTCGGCAGGCTTGCAGAGACCACGTTTGCTTTCTGAAGCGGCAGGACGCATCCAGTACTTACCACCAAGGCTCCCCTGGAAAAACCGCCTCGCACCCCCGCACCTAAGCCAGGAATGCTCCCCGACCCACAGAGGGAAACGTTACCTGGATTTCTCTTGCGTGGTACACGATGATGAGCCCGAGCAGGATAATCGTGGAGAGGCTAATAAGGCATTTCAGAGCGAGGGAATACAGAGACTCCTGCAAGAGAAAGACACCGCCGTTCCTCAGAGACCCGTGCGCGGGGGCCGCTCCGCCCCACCGCCACCCCGGCCCGAGGAGGCGGCCGGCGGCACCGCGCCACCGGACCGTGGGGACACCGCG